TGGGGTGCCTGACGCTCATGGCCAGGCGCTGCGGCCGATGGACTACAGGTCCGCCGGCATCATCGGGGAATTTCTCCCCGTGGCGTGTGGCGTGTGCGACGCCGACGTGCACTGCTTTGGTGCTGCGACGAGGACGATGTCGGGATCGTGCGGCTGCCGCTGTGCTGAATGCGGGTACGGGCGCGACTGCCTGCCGGTGTACCTGCCGCACGTGGACGGGTGCAACCGCACGTCTGGCATGCCGCCGCTGAGCCACACAGCGACGCTGACGGAGACGCGCAGCCTGACTTCAACATGGACGCCGAGCCAGAGCACCGAGCGCTACAGTCCGCTGCGGTACGGGCCGACGGAGACACTGCAGGTGACGGAGACGGTGGCGTTGCTGCCCACGCGGACCCCGACGGCGTCGGTGAGCAGCACGCTGTGGTGGAGCGAGGTGGCGTGCCCGACGCTTGCCGTGACGACGACGGCGGCTGGTGGGTGCCTGACGCAGAACGACATCCGCGGCGGTGGGAGCGCCGTCCCGACGCGGCTGATGGTGGCGCTGCCGCCGCCGTTTCGATGGGCACGCGACCCGCAGCCCAGCACGCACCTGAGCTTTGTGCCGGTGTCGACGGTGCAGCCGAGCGGCTTCGGTGGTCCGTGGGGAGCGATGCTGAGCAACGGGACGTGGGTGCGCAACGCGACGAATCCGTCCACCGTCCTGGAGCTGGCTGTGCCCGTGCACCGCGGTTACTTCACTGCTGCCGACGAGACGATAGTCATTCGCTGCGACGCTACGGCGGTGTCCGGCGGCTGCAAGGGCGTGCTGCTTGGGTCCTTCACGATCAGGTCTGACACGCTGCCCGCCGCTGCCAGCGCCCTCTCGGCGATCACCGGCGTTGCGGCGGGTGCGGCGGCTGTTGCCGTGGTGGTGACGGGCGGGCTGGGCTCCATTCTGGAGATGCAGGCGCTCGGCGTGTTCGCGAGGATGCCATGCGCCTCGGCGCAGGAGCGTGCGAGCACCGTTGCGCTGCCGTACTTCCTGTCGGTGTTCGCTGCCCTTGACCCGCTGTGGATGGTGGTGGGCAACGCGCTGCTGGCCGCTGCGTTCGGGTGCGTGCACTGCGGTGTGACGGCGGCCTTCCAGCGGTGGCGCGGCGTGGACGCGGCGAGTGCGTGGGCGGTGATGCGCTTCCCGAGCCTAACTTACGTTGTGGCGCACGCGATGCATCTCGGCATCTTCTTCGGCTCCGTGCTTGCACTGGCGATGCCCGACGCCCGCGTGCAGCACCGCGTGATCGGTGTCGTCGGCGTGCTTTACGGTGTGGCGTTCCCTGCTGGCGTGTGCTACTTGATTGCCCGCCACACGGGCGCGAGCTTCACGAGGTACTGGCAGTTTTCTAGGAAGCCGCTGCACGAGCGCCTGCTGTACCCCGTCGGGTATTGGCACCCCGCGGCGCAGCAGCGGATGTACGGCGGCATGCTGACGGACATGAGGGGCAGCCGCGTGTACTGGTGCGTGTTCCAGCTGTCGGTGCTGTGCGTGGTGGGCCTGACTGCGGCTGTGCAGTCGCCCGTGGGAGGTTGCCACGTCCAGTACTTCTGCATGGCTGCTGTGCTGGTTGCGGGCGCGGGCGTGGTTGCCTTCACGAACATGATGCGCTCGTCCTTCCTGACGGTGATGCACACGGCGAGCTTTGTGCTCCTTGCGGCGCTGTGCGTGATCAGTGCGGCCAACCACCTTGCGCCGAGCGACGGCGGTGCGAGGGCGTACGCGGCGATCGCGCTGCTGCTGACGACTGTGGTGCTTGCGGTCACTGTGTACAGCGTCGTTGTGTGGTACGCGGAGGACCGCCACTGGCAGGAGCTGCGCGAGCCGCGGCGTGGCGGGCTGGAAGCGCTGCTGCGCGATGACGTGGAGAGCGACGAAGAGACGCAGAAGCCCCACGACATGACGTTATCGTCGTACGCCTCGGGCACCACCGTTACGTCGTCGTACCGACCACCCGCAGCGCCGCAGCCCATGGCTGGTGACACCCGCTCAGACGCACAGAGCCTGCTCGAGTGTGCATGGAGTGCGAGAGGCAAAATTGATCACGCCCTCCTGTGACGTGCAACACGTGGAACTGACAGGCGTGCGGTGTTGGTTGATGGGGGGAGGGTGCGGAGCCACAAATGTGCTGCGCCCCACAGCCAGCCACCGTTAACCGCACCGACGGTATTGTTGATTGTTGTTTCTATCGATGTGTTTCTATTTTGAGCGGGTGCTTCCAGGAGTTTTTCCCGTTCCGCGATGAATGTGTGGAGGGGGATTGTACTGTCGCCCTTGTTGCTCCTGCTGTTGTGTTGTATCGGACTGTAATTTCGTGGAGTTGCGTGCGAGGAGCTCAAAGTTCATTCTGTGCAATGGAGGAGGGATCCAGCGAACCGCCTAGTGGAAGTAATGAATTGCAGCTCTGCCTTACCGTGGGTTTCCATGCAGGAGACATTACAGTCCTCAGAAGCAAAGCGGCGACAGAGTAGTAGCAGGACTCCAGGTTTCCAGGAACGCCGTTGAGCGGGATTATGTATTGAGGCGCGACGCATTGCCGTGATTCCGGGCTGCCCTGGTGTGTGCGAGTGCAGCGGGGGATCGATGTCTCTTTAGCGGTGGAATTGACGGACCAGGCCATCCCAGTCACCTTCCACAATAATCCTTGAGCGCACCGCCGCCATGGCTGTACCCCTCAGGTGTGCGCGTGGAACGTGGGAGCCTTGGATGCTGCGGCATTGGGATTCGTTGCCCGCTACGGCCCGCGTGTTTTGTGTGTGCAGGAGGTGTGACGGCCACTTCCGGCAATTTGCACATCCCTTCACGGCGCGGCCTTTGATTGATTTGGCACACCGCATTCCACAGGCAAGGGATATTGTCGCGGATTGGCCACGCTGGTACGGGGATGCCTACACGAGGAATTCTTCTTTTTTAAATATTTCCCTCCGGCTTTGCAAAGTCCATGCACCACAGCAGACACAGAGGGGTGTGGTATTAGCATGGAGAGTACGATATTCACCGAGACTCTTTCCACGGCAGCGTGCGTGTCTGCACCTTCTCGTCGAACCGTGGAAGCACGCGAGCACACGTCGACGGTTCTGGATCACCTGGTGACTCACATTGTTGGCGTACCCTTTTTTCTTGCCAGCAGCACTGAGGGGCGCGCACACGGATGCGGTTTGTCCTTGGCCACTGCGGCGTGCCCAGGAAATAAGCTTGTGATGCATAAGCCAAGGAGGCGTCCGACCTCGCACAGCTCACAGACGCATGGAGCACCGGCATCGTCGCATTGGCCGGACGTATTATTGGTGTCCGACAGCTCAGGCCAGGAGCTCACCGCTCCACTGCAGCAGGCGACTGGGAACCCACGCGCACGGGATCCACTGTCACTCGCAGGGAGGAGACTGCGCCAGCCCGCTCCCGCACCGGTGTTTCTCACGAATACGGATGGCTGCTGCGACCACTGCAACCCGCCATCCCACGCACATGCCGTTGGCGCGGCGCGGATGCCGCACAGCAGGCACGCAAAGAACTTCGCACGGAAAAGCCATCTCCTCCTGCTGGACCCCACACCGCCACGATCCGATGCCCGACAGACTGCCCGGTGTGCGGCAAGCACTGCAGCTGCCGCACTAGTGTCGTGACGCACATGGTCAACGCCCATGGCATTACGCGCTCCCAGGCGCTGCGGGAATTTGGCTTTCGCGGTGAGTCGGAGCCGCCAGAAATCCCACCGGAACCACCGCCCAGCACTTGAGCGAGGACGAGAGCGAGAGACGGCACGCCGATCGCACCTCCGCCGCAGACTGCAGAGCCCATGCCGAAGCCACTCCCATGCAGTTTTTGCACGGTGTCGTACGAAAGGCAAGCCGGAACCGTATTTTATCTTTGGCACTTCCACAAGCAAGAGTTCCCCCGACAAATAGGAGGCGTTGCCAGGAATATGACGGTCTGACGGCATCCACCGCGCTCGAATGCACGTACTGTGAATTCAGAGCTCAAGCGAAAGCGGGACCACTATCCCGCATACGGGCACACGAACACTCCAGCACAGCGCTACCGTCGGCACCGAATAAAGTGGCACTTCATAGGTGCCCTTAATGCGGCAGGCAGGCGGGCAATGCCGGGGGATTGACCACCCGCACCCGGCACAAACACCCGACAGAAAGAAAGTCGTGACACTAAAAATGGAGAATGAATAACCACGCGCTGCAAGGCTCGAAAATTCGCATGAAGAGCATCAAACCAACGCAGAACCCCGCCTCCGCGCAGGAGGAGAATGCCACCGAGAAACAGTGCAGCGTGTGTTTCTAAAATGGCACGCACACATGCATTGATTAGCGTCACGCTGTTGCCGATTTCCCGGCGTCAGAGGGCTCAGGCCGCCGAGAAGGCGCACGTCGCTCGGCGACGACATCCCGCTGCGACCACCACCAGTTTGGTTTTGCCGTTTAGCGTGCGGGTTTCCGTGCCACAGCAATGCCTGACTGACCCGCTACCGCACGGCACGCCACGGGCATCTGCCGGACATTGTGGATACCGGTCGACTGGAACTGTGCGGAGAGGCAGGTCTGCAGTTACTCCGCTGTCCGGCTCCCACTTTGGGTGCCGGGGCTCTCGTTCACATCTTTAATCATTGGGCCGACGTGCTCTGCGATGGTGGCTGGCGTGTGGGTCTTTGTATTTACTTGAGAAGGCACGAGGAATAGTAACAATATATATAAACAGCGCTGAATAGATATTAGCATCGACAACTATATACCTATCTGTATGTACAAACACAGTTAATAGAATATCAATTCAATAAACCAAGAAACCAGGCAATCTGTCGAATTTTAGGGGAAGGAAGGGAGATATCCACATCTACACATCATCAGCAAATAAATT